GAGGTGTTGTCATATGATTGGTCTTGGTCACTTGCCTCAACCTCCAGAATTCTGTGGTTACAGATGTACGTCACCACAACATGCTTTTTTTTGCTGAATAATAGCTGTGCAAGTTTCAATATGTGTATAGTCTGTATAATGATCAACTTGGGCTAATTAGTAGATCCATCATCTCAAACATTTTTCTTTTCTTTGAGATGAAACATTTAAAATTCTAACATTTAGCTATTGTTGGTCTTGTAAATTTGACAAAGACAAGATTAAGAAAAATTAACTCACTTTGAAACACTTCATCTTTGAATTTAAGCCAGTATACTTTTGGTTGACTGAATTTAATTCTAATCCTAACCTTCTCTTGCCACGGCCAACACACCCTAAGTGTGGCCGACACAGCCTATACTGGCCTCTCTCTGCTATGACCTCAGGACCAGGGACCAGGACTAACTCCATTGTCTGTCTTTCCAAGTCATCTTGTTTTGTGGCCCAGCAACCAGCAGATGAAAGCCCCAGCTGCTAGGCCTCCTCAGGGATGGCAACATGGTCTTCCTACTGACAAGATGATGTGAGGCCAGAGGTGGAAACTAGAAGGCCTGGGAGGCCCTGAAAGACATCCTTTTCTGGGAGCATGAAGCCAGGTCTAGAGGGAATAGCTGAGCAGCTCAAGGCAGCACAGCTAAGCAAGAACAATGGTGGAATAGAGCAGACACCACTGCCTCCTGGCTGTTGCTTTCTTCATATGGGGTCACGAAGTGCAATTACCGCTGCAAAATGATGTGTGCACACCAGTATTGGAGAAAACACTAGTAACAGCTTTCAATGGAGGTGGGGGTGGGGTGGGGGATGCTTAAATAGTATTTAAAACAAGAGGAAAAGAATAAGAGGTGCTTATGTAAGTGAGTGGACATATTCCTAGGGGCCTCAGTTTCAAAGACACAACTCAGGAAATGCAAACACCTGGACTGAGCTCTGGGCTTCTTGGGTGAAAATGAAAACAAGTCTACTCTCATTATATAATGAAAGCATTCTGAGGTGTTTTCTTTTTTTGGTTTGTTTTGGCAAAACTTCATTCAAATGCTAAACTTTATCCAAATACTAAATAAGTGAAATCGTCAGCTCTGCTGCAACAGGAAGCATCTTTAGTAACACTTTTTATAAGAGGCACCGGACATTCAGAAGATGTAATGTGAAAGCTGTCGTCCAGTTAATCCAGCATGCTTTTATTGACCTAAAGTAGGGTCCAGGTATGCGTGTTCACGGTAACTTGGTTTGATTCTGGAATGGAGTTGAAAGTCTTTAAAGTACTTTTCAGAGAGTTCAATGCAAAAGATCTGCTTTCTACAAGTATTTACTGTGTCTTCTCGGCCCCCTCAACTCTGGTACCCGGGGGATCCGGGATGTAGCATGAGAATCTGAACTATTGGTGTCTAGATACAGGTGGCCAGCAGACCAAGTTTTGAGAAGCATGAGCCTACAGGAATTGGTGATTTGTATGTCTCCAGTCCTGCTGGCCCCTCTGAGTGTGAGTTTCCCCACTTGCTTTGTGATAGGCCACTGAGACCCGAGGTCAAGGTCTCAAAGAAGACACAGGAAGTGAAAGGCTTAGGCTGACTGTGACATGATTCCAGAGCCTTCCACAGCAGGCAGGCCAGGACAAAAGAGTGTTGGCTTTTATAAACTTAAACATTGAGAATAACAGAAGATCCAAGTGGCAGAAGTAGGCAGTGGGGAAGGCGGGATGGATAAGAGGACCAGACAGATAAGCCAGGCAGGGAGCTGCAACAAAACCTTTGCTGTTTCCCAACAGCCAGCTCAGGCTCATTTGGTTTCTTCTGTGTACATGGATGTTGGTTCCCAGCTCCGTTAGCTTTACGCCCCCTCCCCCATTAATGCAAAAATCTTGCTGGAGGTTTGATCTGAATCAGAGACAGGCTGTGAACACAGCAGACCAGAGAGCCATGTGGGATCTAAAGGATTTGGTGTATGAACTCTAGAGGCCCTAGCTCCCTAAAATTATCCAAAGATATTTTGTGTGCATAGAAATACACATCTTTTTTATGCAAAAAGACACAGTGGTGACTTTCATCAGCATAAATGATGCCAAAGGGCTGAGAATTGCTAGGCCTTATGACAAGGCTCTGAACACAGTAAGACCTGTGTGTTCCTGTTACATTCTGCCTGGGTCAGATATCTGGCAATGTTCTTGGTGACAGGTAGGTCACTAAGTGTCCCTCTGGCCCCAGGAACTCCCCTTCATGCCTAATCTGAGAATTACAGCAGCAAAGCTACAGGCTTCATTTTGACAGGTTGTTCTGGGTAATTAGTTCCTTTCATTTGTTCATGGAAATAGTTAGGTGACAAGATCATTAGATGATGCTTGTTAGAGCTCTCCAGGGTGGAGAAAGCAAAGCCAAAATTGCTGTTACTTGTTCTCTCTGGATTTAACCTTACCCTTGAAATCCAAGGGAAACAGTCTGCTCGGTGCCTGCTCTGTGAAGAGCAGAGAGCACCAGTTCCCTTTTATCCTGCCAAGTGAGGGGATGGGAGCTAGGCTTGCAAGGCTCCCTGCTTCTGCCAGCTACATCGCACCTCACAGACCTGCTGCTCATTAACTTGCAAAGCCTGGGCAGTCTTTAGCTCTCTCACTTTGTTTATCTGCTCGGGCAAGTTGCTTTACAACCAAAGTAAGTGACTTTTGAGTAAATAAGGTCCTACGTGATGAAACATTCAACTCTTCCCCAGTTGAATATTGTCATTGCTTTTTACTTGATTGTAAGCCTCATTTTGATGGCCAGGCCAAGGCAAGTCGGAACAATTCATCATGTACCAGGTTAGGAGTGGATGCAGCTGTTTAGGAAGTGGGGGATTAACTGGTTACTTACTTAGCAGCTACATCATAGTGAGCCATTTGTTTATCCTTTCTAAGCCTTCATTTCATCATCTGTCTAAGGCAACAAAATATTACCTGAATTACGACATCATAATGCCTGGCATGCAACAAGAACTGAACCAAAGAAAAAGATACGTGAATTGGAAAATATTTGCAAGTTGAATAATAAGATGTTTATACCAAAAATGCATGAGAAATTCATATAATTTAGTAGCAGGGAAACAAGTAGCCCAGTAATCATTGATCACCCATTCCAATGACTAGAAAAGGCAAACAGTTACAAGTGCTAGTGAGGAGGTTAAAAGAAATAAAGGAAACCTAGTATGCTAGCGATGGAAATATGAATTAGCACCGCCATCCTGGGAAACTGGATAAAGGTGTCTCAGACTGAAAACAGAACTACCATGGTGTCTGAAAATCTCACCTCTGAATATATAAATTAAAGAACTGAAACCAGTATGTGGAAGAGATGCCATCACTGGTATTCATTACAGCATCACTCACAACAGCCACCATCATAAAAGCAACCAAAGTGGTCACCAGTGATGACTGGATGCATGACTGGATGAACAAAACACACATAAGTGCACATAAAATGGAACACTTTTGTCTTATAAAGGAGAGTTGGGGAGTTGTGACAGCACAGATAAACACCGCAGACATCATGCTAAGTGAAATAAGCCAGGCGTGGAAAGAGATCCTGTACAATCCCATTCATGTATGGAATCTAAAAAAAGTCATAGGAATAGAGATTATAGTCATGGCTATAAGAGGCTGGGGAATGGAGGGTTGGTGGGATGGGAGGTGCAGACATGTTGGCCAAAGGGCACAAGGTTGTAGTTAGATGAGGAATAAATTTTAATGTCCTAATGAGTATTGTTGATAATAATGTGTATGTCTAAATATCCAAAGTAGTCAATTTTGATTGTTATTATGAGTGTGTGAGAAGGTGCATATGTTAGACTGTTTTTATAATGCATATACCTATTGAGATATTTACTGTGCCCCTAAATATATCTAATTATCATTTATCAATGAAAAGTAAATATTTAAAAGATAGCTCAAATTCTTGTGACTATAGAATACTTCTTCCTAAATCCATATCTCCCAATGAAGCCTGAAGTAGGGATTCAATAAACATATATTATCCAACTCTATTTTTGTGCTCCACAGGTTGTCAATGTCCGAGGAGTTGACCCCCTTTGCAGTTATGCACTTTTAGATGCTGACAGAGACTTAGTGCCCTGTTGTCAATTCTAAATGCTCAACAGTGATTCCAATATAAGTCATCACATTCCTTGGAATCAGAGACTTAATATGAAACTGATAATAAAGTATCCATTTTTTTTCTGTTTGGATTTTCCTAACAGGACAAATCAAAGATACTTCCCTTGGGTCAAAAAATGCACATTTTGCTTTCTAAAACTTATTGCATTTTTCCCAGACATAGTTGCTATTTTGTTTTCCAACACATGATCTCCCTAATGCTTTGGAAATTAAATGCTAATATGTTTGCTCTTTCATGCTCTTAAGTCTAATGTTCAAGCATTTGACTTGAGGTCTTAAATTTCATCAAAATCTGTGTTCACCTCCATGGGTATTTTCTGGCCAGCATCTCCTAGTTAGCTCACTGAGCTTGCCTCAAGCACATTCATATACTGCACCCAGCACTCAAATGTCATTCCAGAGGGGGAAGCCTCCTCCTGGCACCGGCAGAGCGATTGAAAGTCCAGAGGTTCCTGTGCCTTGGATACAAAGGGGTTTTTTTCTTTTTCTTGTTCTGAGCCCAATGCTTTCCTTAGTCAAGTACACTCCAGAGGAAGGAAGGATTTTAATATTTTCAATTGACTATTTTAGATGACTTTTGGAAGGAAGGAAGGAAGGAAGGAAGGAAGGAAGGAAGGAAGGAAGGAAGGAAGGAGAGAGGGAGGGAGGGAGGGAAGGAGGGAGGGAGCTAGGAAGGATAGGGAAAACTGGAGGATTCAGGAGATTACATCTGTGTTATGGGGAACAATTTAAAATGCACATGTGGTGAATGTTAGCACTTTAGGCTAATGACCTGTAGAACAGATAAGCCTGTTTGCGTCACTAACCATATGACTTGCTTTCCTAGCTGCCGTTGTCTGTGTGACACTTCTTGACAGACTTGAGAGTGACCAAATCAATTTGTCACATGATGTCCTGGTGGAGTACCAGCAACGACCACAGCTCCTAATCTCCAATTTCATCAAAAAGCAGCTTGGACTTTGTGGCCAGATGTCATAACTCAGAATCCTACCTGTCTCCTGTGGGTTTGTAGGTAGAGTTGAAATGCTGAGAAGCCATGTAATGTCTATAACATTCTTATGTAATTTTCACCCTTGGGCTAAAATCATAAAAGATTTTATGAAATCCTTTATCTTAAAGTTGAACTTATTGTAGGAGAATCTAATACCCATGTGAAATTAAGTTCAAATTCCACTTTAGAACCGGTTAACCAAAGCTGTCTAAGAATTAATATTTTAAACTCATGAATTGTGACATTTGAAGTGTCATATGTAGCATTAATTAAGCATACATCAAAATAGAGGAGCCATTTGTAGATGGTTACCAGTTGCTTGCTGAAGCAGATCTAGAAGTGTGTGTTAAGACGTTGTCAGCACTTCTAGGTGTTGGATAAGTGACAAAAACCGATCAGGCACATTCAAAATATTTACAAAAATGTGTCATTGTAATATTGGTCTGTATGGAAAAATTATCCTCAGGGAAATATGGCCATGCTTTTTTTCTATCCCTACACACTATCAGTGCACACAGAATGAAATTAGACATTTTCAAATGTATCCATTTGTGATTTTCACAGAATGTAATGGTTTGAGATCACACTTTTTTTTCAAATGAAACCCTTGGTAATGCAAAGACTTTTTCTCTTAAGAAATAAGAAGTGACTAAATTGCCTTCTAGCAATTTTTTCCCTATAAGGAAATATGTCATGAGAAAGCTATATTTATTGTTGTTGTTGCTTCAATAAGAACTGGATAACTGAAGAACTAGTTGACCAAATTTAAACTTGAAATCAAGATGGCGAACAAATCCCTCTGTGTAACTTTGAGGAAGGTTTTGTTCCAAGTCTACACATACGCCACTCCTGGTTGACCCTGAGAGACAGCATGCAACAAAGACTCCATGAATTGATCCCACCTCAAGGTTCCTCTGAACATTTAGGAACTGGAGAAGCCGGATGGGCTAACAGTGGAGGATGCCTTGAAAATGTGTATAGTATGTAACGTTGTGTGTATATATTTATATGGTTGTGGAACAAATAAAATTTAACTCCTGTAACATGTAGTTTTCCTCCACCAGCTGCTTTGGTTTTTTCCTGCCAGCCGCTTGGGCTCTGCCACAGTTGCAGTCCCCAAATAACACACAGGAGGCTATATTAGTTATAAAGCTGTTGGCCGTTCGCTTGTTTCTTACTGGCTATCTCTGACTTAAGTACTTACTCCATAATTATTAATCTAAGTATTTCTCTTACCGGAGAAAAGGGTCCGGACATCTTAGTTCTCTGGGAGTCTACATTGTCTCTGCCGTGTTTCTCTTTCCCAGAATCCTCCTCAACTCCTAGTCCCACCTATTTTGCTTCCCTGTTGGCCAACAGTGCTTTATTGACATATACACAGGACTTTCCCATCAAACTCCCATCATGCTGCAGAGTATTTGGATCCTGGACCACACAAGGAAGGATACTCTGCTAGAATCAGCAGGCTCCAGACTAGCCGAGTCTGAACTGACCTGTGACGAGAATGAATTTCTCTTTTCTGCAGCAGTAAAGGGCCTCCTCAAAGGAGCTTTGGTTGTGAACTTCTTTTGGAAGCAGAAATGCTGGGAGTACAACTTTCCAGGCATCCCAATAATTGATCATCAAACACAAATATCTGAACTATGAAAGGGAAGGCGAGGCAGGAGAGCATCTACTCGCTGGCCACATTTTTCTTTACTCTTTACTTCCATTTCGTTAAGTGGAAACCACTTCAAGGCAGTTCAATGAGCTCTTAGTTTGAATTTTTATCTGGCTGCCCTTGAAAATCTTGTTTGCTTTCTGCCTTGATGCAAGAAGGGGAGGTTCTGAGAAAGAGATGAATGCAATAGTTACCACCTAATCTTCCTGTCACTTCCTGACCACAGAGTGTGCACATGCTCTCCTCTCCAGTACTCCCTATGTCAGCAAATAGTGTGTGGCCAGAAACCTGCAAAACTACACTGAGGAGTCTCCCTTCCTTATTCTGCTGTTCAAACAGTCAAGGAGTCAGATGGATGGACTCTCTTGCACCATTCCTCAATCTGCCCTCCACCCCCCTCCAGCTCTTCCTGCTTTACCTCAAGTCCGGATACCACTTTCTGCCTTGTAGACCTCTGCCACACCTCTATCCTGGAAGTTCAGCTGAGTTCTTACAGCAGATAGGCCCTACTTCAACTCCTGCTCCTGGTTTAAATCAGAATTCAATGGTCCCTTCCTCCCGAGCCTCCAGACAAATCCATGCAGCATTGCTTCCCACAGCACCCCTCTTCCACTACCAAGTACTCATTATAGCTTGAAATTTTGTTGTGATTTGGGTTACTTTATTGAATACCTCATGTCTAGACAGTAAGACTCTTGAGAGCAAAGTCTATCCACATCTACTCTATTTACTTCTGTTCTGTCTGTCTCCAATGCTGGGTGCACGAATGCATGTTTGTCAAATGAGGACCGTTTTTGCGCCAGAGCACTACCTTTAAAAACTCCCACTGTACTGAGCAGGGTATGGGCATCAGTTGATTTGCTCCAGGACACTGTATTGTGGTTCTCAACACTGGGGCATACTAGTGTTTCCAGGAAAATCCTTCAAAAGCACTGCCTGAGGCCTCACTTCAGAGCAGCTCAACAGGACTCATTGAGAGCAGGACTAGGCAGGTCTATGGTAAAGTGCAGCCTGAGAAGACTTCTACTGATTTAGAAGAATGTGTCCTGCAGGGGCCCCTCCAAAGGAATTATTTACACCCTTCAACCATTCTCCACTGGAGTAGTTGCCAGAAGAGCAACTCCCCAATGCCATGAGTAGTATCTTAATCATTCTCTATTCTAGCCATTGATGGGTGCACAGGAAGGCTGGATGGATTAAGCATATATGTGTGCTGTTGTCTATGCATCATATACTCATAATATAAAAATTATACACAAGTTTAAGTTAATGGTTTTAAATAACTCCGCTACCTGAAGACATAGCCCTTTTTATAAGAATGTATGCCTACATTTAATAAGTCTCATGATCTCTACAAGGACTGCAGCTTTAGAAACATGGTGCTGAACTTAATTTGCTAACAGGCATGGCATGTCGGTAGAAATAAAAACTTGAGTGAAAAATAAATGAAATGTATTGCTTGCTTCCAAGCCATAGGCCATGTCTTTTGTCATGGAAGGAGATTAAAATTGTTCAACACATACTGAGTTCCAAAGAGCCACACTGTTCCTCTGCAGGATCCAGAATGCCTCTGGACATACCGTAAGTAGTGTGAATATCTGGTTTGTAATCTGTACATCAGATTTAGAGCTAAACAAATTAATCTTGCTGACCAGGTTCCCTTTAAAAATTATATATACATATGTATGTACACGCACGCACACACACACACACACACACACACACACACACACCCTTCAGTCCTTTAGAACTTTCTCCATCTTTTAAGAATTCTAAAATAATAACAGGGTTCTCATCAAAATGTCTCTTAAAAATGAATATTTGGAAAAATTAATAATTTGCAATCTGCTTCATTATTCACTCCCTAGTGCTTTCCTCATTCCTGATATACTCCTCCCAATAGGTGTCATTCAATACAGAATCAATTTAACATTTATTTTTCTACAAACCGAGCATAGCAATTTTCCCTTGAGAACAAAACCCACCATTTAACTGCTTTTCCTTCTGAAACATTAAATGTGGTATTAATAATACCTTGTAGCATAAAGTAGCTTTAAAACTCATTAGATGAACAACCTTGAAACCACGATCATATATTTTGTGGAGAATTGGCCTAGAATTACACTGCCAAAAGGTAGTAATTTAGGGTTTTGCCTGGTTTTTTTTTTCCAGAATTTAAATTATCCAGGAAAGCATGTTGTCTTCTATAGGAGCCTAATTGTCAACAGTTGAAGCACTGTGGCTATTTCAGAGTTATAAAAATTATTTAAGTCCTCCAATTTTGCCCTATCTCCCATTAGACCATAAAGAACAGATCTTTAAAAATATAAGTTACAGCTGGGCATTGGTGGCGTACGCCTTTAATACCAGTACCCGGGAGGCAGAGGAAGGTGGATCTCTATGAGTTCAAGGCCAGCCTGGTCTACAGAGCAAGTTCCAGGACAGCCTCCAAAACAATACAGAGAAACCCTGTCTTGAAAAACCAAGATAAATAAATAAATAAATAAATAAATAAAATATAAGTTACAGGCAGGGCGGTAGTGGCACACACCTTTAATCCTAGCACTCCGGAGGCAGAGGCAGGCAGATCTCTGTGAGTTCGAGGCCAGCCTGGTCTACAAGAGCTAGTTCCAGGACAGCCTCCAAAGAAAGCCCTGTCTCAAAAAACCAATATGTATATGTATATATGTTACACTTTGTATTTCAAAAATTACTTTTCACCCAAGAGAAAAGCCTCTTTGGAGTTGTAGTTCACCCCTACCACACTCCCACAAAACAATGATAAAAATAAAAGGAAGAAGACTGTTAGGCAGGTCTCACTTCCAGTAAATGGTCAGCAGTGAGCCCCGCCCACCTGCCCAGCCCTGTTCCCTACATCTCACAGATGGGTCTGCGCTAGTGCTAGCTACTTGCCTTCTTTCTTTCCTTGAGATCCCAGACAGCTCATGGCAAAGAGAATGGTTTCTATGATTGTTCTAAGGTTTCAAGGGCATGGACTGCAAGCAAGCAAAAGGGCAGAACAAGCAAACACATTTATAAAGAGCCAACTTCATGTAAGTCACAAGGTTAGGTGTCATGAGACAAGACAATCTCTTCCTTAAGCAATTCACAGCCTTGTATACTTGAAGTACCAAGACAGACATATGAGCCACTGCAGTTCAGAGGGAAATACCATAGACTCCAAAGGAGAAATAGAAACAAACATGTTTTGAGGAGTCAACAAAAGGGGTCACCATGTACAATAGGAGATTTGAGGGGGCTTCTTGGGTAAAGTGGGCATCTGAGGTTTACTTAAGGCTGCATTTTGGTGACAGCTCTATGCAAGATGCTGTGAACAGATGTCAAGCATGAAACAGGAAAAAGTCTTTGCCTAATGTAACAAAGAGTCCTTCCTGACTGGATCTGGAAGGTAATTTGTGTTATATGCTCTATAATCCAAGATAAGGAGATTGGACTTACTGCATAGGCAAAGGGAGGTCACTGACATGTATCATCAGAGCAGTCAGATGTCTGTCGAGGGTAGGGAGGTCACTGACATGTATCGTCGGAGCAGTCAGATGTCTGTTGAGAGTAGGTAGGAGGAAGGAGAATGAAAGTAAGATAGGAACCTGCAGCAAGAAAATATGCCCGAGTTCAGGGGACTAACACTGGGCCACCCAAAGGGAGAAAAGAATAGATGAGACCTCCAAATTCATTAGTGTTGCTGTTATTGCATTACACACATGCACACACACACACACACACACACACACACACAGAGAGAGAGAGAGAGAGAGAGAGAGCAAATGCTTTCAAGTTTTCACTTTATAAGTCAAATTTTCACTTTATCAGTCAGTTTCTGGGGCTGGAGAGACGGCTCAGCGATTAAGAGAGCTGGCAGCTCTTACAGAAGTCCTGAGTTCAATTCCCAGCAATCCCATGGTGGCTCAACAACCATCTGTAATGAGGTCTAGTGCCCTCTTCTGACATGCAAGCAGATATGCAGGCAGACCACTATATTCATAATAAATATATTTTTTAAAGTCTTAAAAAACCTAATCAGGTTCTATATATCAGAACAAAAATTTCTTTTTCACTTGAAGATTATTCATTCCCCAAGTCTTCTTTGGTGAAAGGCTCAGGAGGGTTCGTAGGTGACAGAGCTGACGGCAGTTGTGGGGGAGGGGAAATGGCTTGAAAGGGCTAATGGTCGATTGAGAGATGCCAGGGATGACATCAGCACCGATGTGGTGAAAAGTCTGAGGGTGGTTTGGCTCACACAGAATTAGATCTCCAAAAGATGCGTGTGCTCATTAGAAAGTGGAATCTCAGTGAAATTCTGACGTGTACTGTAACATGGCTGCATCTCTAGAACATTGTGCTAAATGAAATAAGCCAGCCACA